GTGTGTATAATTATTATTAATCTAGATGAAATCTATAGAATTGCCAAGTTCATTCATAGATTTCTGAGCAAGTTTAATACTTTAGCATATAGTGCAAAACTTTCCCTATTACTTTTGTTTGTTTTGAACAAACTATATCCTTTAGTTGCTCTGTTGCAGTTACAGGAGACCACCAGGTCTGGGTTGTACCAGTTAAATAGTATTAGTCTTCCTATGCTACTAATTCATGGTAGTCATGAATTTTATGTGCCAATGTTCTGGTTTGATTTTTTTCATTGAGTGATTTAATAGGCCCCATTACAGCAACACTCCCATGGTTTTCTACAATACACAAGTCTTTATCTGAGAACTTCAGGATTTTTGTCTTCAGCCCGCATAGGTTTCTATTTAGAGACTTCCCAATCAAGCTTGTCATGCTTTGACCAAAGATATTTTACATCTATCTTTGTGAGATACAACCCATCTTGTTCCAGAAGTCCATAATGCAGATATCTCAGATCATGGTCCCAGAAATCAAATCTCTCCTGTCAACACTTATCTGCCCAGTCAGTCACTTCGTGTTCAGTATTTTCTTTTTCTGATCCTGTTCTATGAAGTAAAATAGAAGGATCCTTCATTGGCTTTCCTTCTTAGAACTTTAAAGTATATATAATCCAATTGTTACTGTTCTTTGCTGTATCATTTGTCCCCACATGGATTTGTAGGAAGGAGTCATTGTCAATGGACTTGATAATAGATGTAAAATTGTTTCATTACATCCCTGATCCTTGCTATTAGGAAACAGCATACTTTGGGAACTGATGGATCCAATCAACACATATTTATTCCAGTTCCTCATGATAATCACTGACTGCTATGATTCTTCCCTTGTTCTGTCTCCTTTTCCTTCCTTTGAAGTTTGAGAGACTGTTTCTTCTGGACAGAATGAAAGCTGTTTCTGAGTTCCAGTGATGCAAAATATCTTCTAAGTCTCTTGCTTTTGCTTGTCACTCTCATCAAATGAACTTGCTTCTTTTATTCCCTTCTTTATGCAGTTGTTTCCTCCAACAACTCTTGTTGTCACTCTCCCTCTCTTTGATTTAGTAAATCTTAATTGTCTTGCATGAACTGAAGTTGGGCCACCAAGAACTGTTACAAATTTGTGCCTGGTTATTTTCAGATAAAATATACACTTTCCACAGGTATTGCAGATCATGACTGCAGACTTCTGTGTGTTCATCTTTTTTCTTAATATGGTATGTATTTGTGGAAGAACATAAATACCATGTAGTAAATTGATTTATGCCTGTATTCATCTTCAGGTATGTTACCTGGGAGATAATTAGGTTTTGTTTGTACTATAGCAAAAAGCCTGTTCTTGACTGGTTTAAAAATAGCATTCAAAACAAAGTTGTTTAGATGCAATTTCAGCAATTAACAACATGGTCAATATCATTTCAAGACTTCCTGATTGTGGTTCTTTTTTAGATGCAGTAATACCAAAAATAAGAATGTGACACAGTGACATTTCTGTAGCAACCTATGAACAGACAGCATTTTGAATGTACACAAGGGTTCATGAAGAGGTCAGGACCCTTTTCCCTTCATCTGCATTGAATAATATGCACTTTTTATATCTATGTCTGAAGTGATCACTCTTAATCGTAAATTCACTTATTGTTAAATGCAAACATATTTATTTATATTTGCACTCACTATCTGTTTTTACTGTATGCAAGTTAAAACCTTTATTTCCAGATATGAATTTGGGAAATTATAGACACTGAGAAGTCTGCAAAAAGTATTGTGAGCTAATGATCCCTGCTAATTTGTATTACTTCCATGTATTTAACATAATTTAGATACAGTCTGAAGGAATAATTACATTTGGGGTGGTTGAGCTTATAATTGTCTAAGACAAATTAATATAAAATGAAAAGCTTTTGAAGGAAAAAAAAACCTCATTTCATATAAATAGGATTTTAATTATATTTAAACTGAATTTTTTTCTTGACATTTTTCATTGATTGTTTTAATATTTTCATCATATTTTCAGATTTAGCTTTTCAAACATAATATTAAAAAGACAGCTACTTTTCTTCTGAAAAACAAAACTGGAATTTTAGTTATTTAAAAAGCATTTTAACTGCCTGGTTCAAATGTGTAAATACCTCAAGAAAACAACAGTATATAGTAATCCTATACATGTTTACTCAAAGCTTATTTGAACTGAATAGGGCTTTTTCCCCTTCAAGTGGGAAAACCACATATGGTTAAAATCTTCTAGGTAGTTTTCTTGATTTGGCAAAATCTATATTTGAGATCTCCTGAATCAATCTATTTTTCAAATACATTTTAAAAGTTAGTAACAAAACAGCAATTTGTCCCCCATCAGGGGAGATGCGCGGAGATAAATTTAATAATAAATAAATAAATAATACATTTCTGTCAGCTGTAGCAGGGTTTGTTTTAAAAGTCTATATTAAACATGTTATCTAGAGAGCAAGTGAGGTAACTCTAGCATTTGCACAGCCTAGACCTCAGCAAGTTTACCCCAGAACTTGAATAGTATTTAGTTCTGATTAGTGGAACTTTGTCAAGCATGCAGTCATCATTTTCTACAAATTGAGCACAAAATCTGAGCCCTAACTTATTCTTAAAGATATGTGAGAGTAATCAGGATTCTCACATTTTGTGGTCAATTTGCATGAATTGATGACCAACTTGCCACATGGTAAGGTTTTCTGATACAGTTGGCCAATCAATAACGCAAACATGAAAACATATTTTTTTGCTACACATTCTAGTGCAGGCTAAAATTTTTATGCAAGTTGGCATATCTGCAGTTTCATTTATTTAGTAAGCTTATACGTGTATTATGACTTGAGTAAGTTTACACTAAGCCAGTAAAACTATAAAATACAGTTAAAATCAAATAATAATCATGCAGTGATGAAATAATCAACTAAATAAACAAAACATTTTTGGGAGTATATTGATTGTAGGTGCTGACATAAAATTGCTCCCCTACTCCACCTAATCTTCTAAATACACCTTTTATCTTTTTTCAAGTCACGTTAGTACATTTACCAACAAACTATTATGTGAAGTCCAGAAACATTTTTTGGGGGAAAAAAGCTTGCAGATTACATGCCAGGCTTCCTGTGGGATCATAGGGTTTGACTCAGTGAAACAACTCCTTTTAGTTTTCCATTTATTAAGAAAATGCATCAAAGTTAATGGCACGTTAGTTTTGTTTTCCCTAGTCTAGCTCTGCAAGCAGAGGTTAGAATTAGCTAATTACTTCCAGTGCTTACTTCTTAATAACAATGCCACTTTTTAAAAATTGCCTTGCAGAGAGAACTTTTTTCTTCTTCTGCTGAATATTATAAAGATTTCTCTAACTGTATGTTTGCAAGCTATCATGTTGTTTAACAGGTATGTACTCATAACTGTTTCTAACCCTTATTTATACCCCTACTTTAGTAATAAAGGGCATAACAAACTGGCAGTGTTCCTTCTCTCAGACTAGCCCAGCCTTCCTCCTTTGGGTCTGGCTTGTAGAATGTCTCATCTTCCCTATCTTCAATCTCTGAGGGATCATTTGTATTGAGAAGGAAAGACCCCATGCTGCATTCTCCTCTTTGGGACTTCAGGGAGCCTTCCCCTGGGTCTTACCCAACCACTCTCTTAAGCAATCTCTTTATTTGACCTTGAATTAACAAGACTAACATTGCCCAGTCCAATTTAAGTTTACCAGTCAGTATTACTCTTCACTAAAATAACAAATCTCAAACAACCACTTCTGTCTAGATCTTAGGTTGTACCAGCCATTATATCTCCTCCACTGAGACTCTCCTTCCAATTCTTCCTGCTGTTTTCTAAGACTCCACCTCTGATGCCAGCCGAATAACATCCTCCTATGAGAAATAAAACTAAATCAACTCCTAATCTCAGCTTCTTTTATCAAAAACCGATTACAAAAACTTTGGATGTCTGTGAGAATACATGAACAGCCAGCAAGAAGCCATGGCTGAATGTAGGCTATTATTTTAAAAACATATGATAAAATATTTATGTTCCAAATATGGATTTAAAATTGCTGCATGAAATGAATAAATATGTAACATATAACAACGTATAAACATTGCTCAGTATTTTTAATTGTCTGTCAAAAATGTCATTCTCAAACCAGGTTCATATAGAAATTGTGGATTGGAAGTTAGAGGTATCAAAACCATTAGAGGTACTCTTAAAAGTTTTATAGTCTTTTATTTAAATTATCTTTTAGCAAAATTACTGCAAAATGGAATGTACATGTGTGTGTGTAAACTAAAAAAACCTGAAACAAATGTATACTGTTTTACAGACAGCATGATGTTGCATTTATCTTCATTTGTTTTTAACTGTATAATCCCAATTGGCACCCCAATGGCAAACATTATCCTGTTAATCATGGCCAACTCGAAGCTTAAAAATTGCCTATGCAGGGTGCCTTCTTAGCTCCTCTTGTCTCCTACGTGGTCCTTGACAGTCTTATCTAACAATTCCCAGTGTCGTGGATGTATCCACTATATTTTTCCACTGTGTGTTAGATTATTATATTAGGGGCTTTCTTAGAAATCCAAATGGTGCCTAGATTTAACCAACTGGTTCTGCTCAGAGGAATGGACTGGAATCCTCAGGCAGCTGCTTACGATGCAGCTGCTGATGGTGGCCCAAAGGCTTGCCCTGTAGCAACCTGTATAAGAAAATTATCTATAACTCACTGCATGTAATTGATTCTAGGCATGTCCTTGTCTATAAGTAGATAACTAACTTAGATTGAATCCTTCCAACTCCACTTTAATGTGAGTATTTTTAAAGCAATAACTTAATCTTCTTGCTTTTATATATTAGCACAATTTAACACAATCATATTAAAACAATGTGATAACACAATGTTTTTCTTCCTTTGTACTTCATGAATGAAAGTGTCAGAAAAGATACAGAGCATCTGTTATAAATGATAGAGTCCTATATTGAATTCTTAGCTGATTCACACTATTTAAAACTGTGAATCAACTAAAGCTACCTCATATCAAGCACACAAGATACATGTCGGTGATATTAACAAATATAATAGTTTGAGATATAGGAAAATAAAACCAAAAATACCATTAGTTTGCATCTTTATGAGCACTTTGAAGAAATACTAAAGTAAGTGATTGCTCAGAAGAACCGTTCATTCTTTGGAATACAAAACAGAGAAACATTTTTATTAGAAATATTTTTTTAAAAAATCATATCAATTTATGAACTGTTTACAAGGCTTGGTGAGCTGTGTTTTATGCTATATTGATTAAAGAAATTAAGAATAAAGTTTCTAATAGAGTTTTTATGTAAAAAATAAATAATTTTGCAACAACATCAAAATGAAGAGAGGCACAGTGACATCAGCATACTCCATACTAAAGATACTGGTTCCTGGGAAGTTGTCCCAAATTTTATAGGACTTTTTGAATCATTCTGCTGAGGTTGGAGAAGGGGGGGGGGGAGAATCTGCCCCTGAAGCTCCAACATCTCCAGCAGCAAAAAGAGTTTTACCATTTATCTACAGAAGATAATTGGGGACAGGCTTCTAACAGTGGAAACCCAAACCTTTCTATTCCTCAGCTTGATCCCACATTACAGTAAATCTAGTCAGTAAAGCTATTAATTTCCATGTACTGCATATCAATGGACAGGAACTCTGATGATGGGAGAAAGATCCCAGCGAAATGCTATTTTCATCCTGCCAGCATCAGCAGGGCTTTAGATATGATGGATCCTCTCCCTTTGATTCACGTGGCCTTGTTAACCATCCTTACTTACCCTGTAGTCAGAAGGCACAAAGGCTTTTGCAAAAGCGATAATTTAATTTAGTTCATTTTAATAGAGGAAGAACAATGCCTCGATTGAATGTTTTTGTGAAGGCAAGCTGCATAAACACGCATATATTTACTGAGGAAAACATACAGTAGATATCTTTTCCCTCCACATGAATAGGTGGACCATGCTGGTTGGGAATTTTAGTCTCAACATATCTGAAGTACATCAGATTAGGGCACACACATTTTATGAACAGAGCAGCAATTCTGAAGTAGCTAAGAATATTGAACTAAAAATGCTACCACACTTGCTTAGGCACTGTGTGCAAAGTGCAGCACATGAGTTTGAGTACTAAGAGTTTTAATGTATGCCACTAAAACAAGTGATTCAAATGAGGATTTTTTTTCTTTTGAAAAAACGTGTTCTCAATAAATACTCCATTTTTAATCCAAAGTTTTAGATAGGAAGATGGAAGGCTTGCAGAGGGAAAAATGAAACAGGGTAGAAAAAATGTGGAACATAGCCCATATAAGATTAAAATAATAAACAGAGTACAACCCAAAGCAGTTTAAAATAAAGCTTTACAAAATTATTCATTGGATAACAGTGTTATTTTTAAAAATTGATCTTCAAACCTGAGGTCACTCCCTTTTTATATTATATTATCTTTTTTTTTTTTTTTGCTAACATAAACAAAGCAGTTCTAATTGCAGCCAAAGGAGTGCTTTTTGAAGAACCAGACACTCCCTTTTTATATTATATTATCTTTTTTTTTTTTTTTGCTAACATAAACAAAGCAGTTCTAATTGCAGCCAAAGGAGTGCTTTTTGAAGAACCAGACACTCCCTTTTTATATTATATTATCTTTTTTTTTTTTTTTGCTAACATAAACAAAGCAGTTCTAATTGCAGCCAAAGGAGTGCTTTTTGAAGAACCAGACACTCCCTTTTTATATTATATTATCTTTTTTTTTTTTTTTGCTAACATAAACAAAGCAGTTCTAATTGCAGCCAAAGGAGTGCTTTTTGAAGAACCAGAGGCCACATCATCCAAACCTTATGTACAGTATCATATTAGCTGTGAAAATAAGATTTTGAAAATGAGTCCAGAAACAGCTGGTTATTGAAATGTTCAGTACAAAACCCTCATCCGTTTATTGGGCTTAGAAGAAGTCCATAGCAGTTGGTCTCTTCTTAGCTGGAGTTATAAGGGACTTCTTTATTTGAGGGGTTTCTGTCAAAGAGCTAGAGGATGACTTCAGGACCCCATGGGGTGGTTTTTGCTCAGGATTGAAAGCTACCCGGGAGACTCCCTCTGGACTGACTAAGATACTTTTGTCTGTCTTCTTAAATTCTGTCAAGCAAAAGATTAGAAAGAAAAACATTACGAGTCTTGTGTTATCCTGTTGCTAGTCATATAAAGTATTTCTTGTAAGTGAAGGGAGAAACTGCATCCTTCTAATGGATGTTTTCTTTATAAGCAAAAGGCCGTCAGAATGCATGTATTTTAAACCAATGTTTAAAATTATTTTTAATATCTAAATTATTTTTCATATGCTACATGAAAATAGGTGGAGGATCTCAGCAGACTAAAATATATTTTTTAAAACTTCTATCAAAATATATGCATAACTCCTGTTTTAACAACACTAGTAATAATCCAAGATAATTTCTTGGCCACCAAAAACTTTTTTAACATTCAGGTTGTTGCATGAATGACAATAACAACACAGGCCTTTCAAGCAAGCAAGAAAGTGACTTACCAGCAGTCATATTCTTACTCAATCCAAAGGTAACCTTTTTGGAGCTGGTAGATTGTAGCCTGCTTAACTAAAAGACAGATACAGCTGTTTTCTTGGGCCAATTAAATCTTTATCACTTAAAATATTTTTCAACATCTTTTTTAGAATGTTGAACCAAATCACAATAGTTACAAAGTATCACCAACATAAACCATCATCCAATTTGCACAGTTGAGACTAAACAGATAATCTTTGGAGAACAAGGGCTCCTATTCAGTGATTCATCACAATTCTATCCCATTATTTAAAAGGGAATCAAACTATTATTCTAAACACTCTTGAGACATAAAATTATACAGACTACAGAAAGGTTATCATACCTGCATGGCCGTAATGCTTCCTTTAGCTCTTCTAAAGAAGGTTGGCTTTGGTAAGTCTATCTTTTCAAACTTCACAAAATCATTCTCCACCTTTGCCTTTCTTTTCTTTATTGGAAGGGCAATGCCACCAGTTTCCTGCAAGAAGAAAAAGAACAGTCAGGAAGTATGTATAACATAGTCAATAATACAAATAGCACATAATGTTTATCTTCATCTGTTTAGAATTCTTCCATCCCTCTCCTCCCCGCTTTTTTTGTACAGCCACAGCACATATTAAACACCAAGCTAAGAGATAGAATTATAAATCCATTGCTAACTGCATGCATACCTTTCCATGGGAACCAACCCTAAGAAATAACATGGATAGTCTGTTTCAGGGAAATTAAAGAACACAAGGGAAATACTTTGAAAAGAGCAAAGCTATGCTTTTAATGTAATTTCCAAATAAAAAGATTTACTTTTAAGGGCATACCAAATTTGTTCAATTTAAAATGTGACCTTTAAAAATTGTTCCTTATTTCTCCAACCATTCACAAGCAAAACTTGCTTAACATCAGTGTTTTAGATGAAAGGCTTAAATATAGCCCTGAGGAGGAAGTCACCTAAAAATAAACAAGGAGGGCACACACAAAGGCACGATTCTCAACATCCCTAAACGTCTGGTCTTCTCTTTAGACCTTTGTACATACCAGGTGAAGATTGCAGGGGACATTTAAGAGTTTTCAGCTAAATAGAAGAAGAGATGTTGGGCAGACTTGTGTGCTACATAGTCTTTGCCTGTTTACTTTCTTTTAGCTCTTATGGAGTTCAGAAGCATGTCTTAGTAGGGCTCATGTTAGGATACAGCCTTTTATAACAATCTTCCCTTCAGCTGGCCAACTAATTAGCCTAAGGATGTAGAATTTTAGATTAAAATTAACTTGTGAAATTACAGCATTAAATTACTGATGCCGTTTTACCATTAACCAACTGCACTAAAGTAATGATGTTTTTTTTTTCCATTTCACAAAATGGATTAATAAATCTAGAAAATGATTTAGTTTGAAAAATACAACAGGGTGTATCCACTTACTTTGTTCTTCTTCTTCTTGTTTTCAAGTTCATATCTTTCTGTGGAATTTGGGATTTCCTTGATTTTTCTTGGCATTTTCAAGCCAATTACTTTCTGTTTGGAATATGTAATCCTTACCAAATTCCCCAACTTTTTTTTTCTCTTCAACTTGACTTTCTGGAGCACAATAGGTTCTGACTCTGCAAGGCATTTTTTCCCTGGCAGTTTAACATTATCCTCAAAAAAAACCTTTCCAGTGATTTCTGGCTTTGATTTCTGCTGCCTTTTCATAATTTTACCAATGGTACAGTAGCCAGGGTCCTCTTCGCTGCCATTATTATTCTGTCCATTCTGATACACAATTTCTACAGGAACTTTTGGTAGGCTGTCATTTTTTGGGGGGGGATGTTTCTTTATGCCATTAACTAAACAAGTCAATGACTTCAAGGATGAATCATCACTGAGTCCTTCAATGGGAATCACTGTAGAAGCCAATTCATTGGCCTCTGTACTTAAAGACTTCTGTCGTTTCCTGATATTTGAGGATTCCTTGTCTGGTTTTGGCACTTTGGATTCAACACTGACTGGTCTGTTCTCATTATTTCTAGCAGCTGTGCAAACATCAGATATCTGATTAGACTTTCTCTTTCTCTTTTTCCTTTTCTTTTGTAGTCCTGTGTTGGCCTCTTCTTCCTCACTATCATTCTTTTGGGTTTGATTGTTGTCTGTCAAGAGAAATTAAATGATATTAAGTTGAATAGACCTCTCATGAGAGAAGTTGGTAAGACAACTCTAATTTTAAATGAAGAAACATGTCTCTGATTGCAAAAACCATGATTAATCTTGCCATTAATTCTCACATATGCATTTTCAGATACTTTCTGAAATCATAATTATTATAATGGATGACGTTCACATCAGAACTCTTTATACTTATGGAAAAGCCCTAAGCCTACCCACACTGCTCTGTTGCTTTCAGTCAATACTTATAGTCCATCATCAAAAGCCATTTCCATTGTCCGCAGAGGACACTCTATTACAACAGTTAAATTTAATATGAACTATTGTTATTGACAATAAAGTTATTACTGCCTGCTTGTTACTAAGTCATACTGTGTTCAGCAGGTTTTCCTCCCATGAAACATAATAATAATAGTTTATTCGGTCAATGACCAGTAAAAAATTATTAAAAAAAATACAACACCAAAGTAAAATTGAAGATGAGATAAAATACTAGTGTAACAAAGATAAAATAATACATACAAATGTGACATACACTGCTATAACGATGCATTAATTACTTGTGCGAGTGTAAATCTAAAATATTACAGACTATGGAGTAAAATATCTAAAAACAAGATAGCTAGTATATGTTAACTCTAAAGTGATAAATAAAACAGAAGTGATTATTTCCGTAACCAGTTATGCCTTATTTTCATTGTGGCAACATAGAATTTGGCTGCTGCACAGGTGATAAACAGTTTCAAATCTTGTAGAAGATGGTTCACAGAGAAATTGCCTGGTCTTCCTGGAAATTTACATATTAAGGGCAGAATATAAGCAGACCTGATATCCCTATAGAGTTTACAATGCAGTTATACATGTGAAATGGTTTTGATCTTATGCCCACATGGGCAGGTGCGCTCAGTTAATGGGGTTTTGGAGTATCTGCCTTGCAGCATTGCAGATGGTAAGATGTTATGCCTGGCTTTGAAAAATGCTATTCTCAGCTTGGGGAAAGTTAGACTTTGTAGATATCTTGCTGGTTCCCAAGTGCATCATCATCATCATCATCATCATCTAAATGTATATGCCAGGGTGACTCTGGGCAGCTCACAATTAAAATTATAAATAAAATTTATCCAATTTCTACCATATTGGGGCAGCCTATTAACTTCAGTCTGAAATTCCATATCCCTTATTCTCTGAGTGAGCAGCTGTTTGGCTTGGTCGTATCCTAAAGAGATTAGGAATGGTACAGAAAGTCCATATAGTGCCAACTTCTGCTCTATGGCCTGTTTCCAGGGAGAAGGAAAATTGTCTATTAAAACTAAAGGGGCCAGTCTAACTGGAAAGAATTGGATTTTCAGATTGTAGTTTACCATCCTCCTCTAAGCCCTTACCTGGATTGCGGGCATTCCTGTCTCAAGCCTTAACTGGGCATTTGCTTTTCCACTGGGTGCAGCAAGGATTGATCTCAAAAATTTTGTTTGCACTGTTTCCAGTGCATCCTTTTTCGCATAAATTCCTACTTGTGCCCCATAATGGATTTGGGCCAGTGGTTTGGCCTCAAAAAGTTTTAATGCCGCAAGGATTAATTGTCCTCCGCTTGTATAAAAGAAGTGTTTAACAGCATTTGTAGACCTAAGAGCTAGTTGCACTACGTGATTCTGATGTGCTTTCCAGGTGCCTTTAGAGTGGAAAACCACCCCAAGGTATTTAAATGCAGTAAGCTACAGTAACTTGTGCCCTTCTGCTCTCCAGGATTATTGAGTGACTCTCTTAGCAAAGACCAGAATTTTAAATTTATCAAAATTAAGAACCAGGTGATTTTGTCTGCAGTACCAAAATATTGCCCCCCATGAAACTGATTATAGCAACAGTCTAAATTAGCAGATTATATGAAATGCCTGTTTTATGCATAATGCTGAACCATAATGTGATTTATTTTTAGTTTAGTGTAGTAGGCAGACCACTCATTATGGTTTAGTACTATGTACAAACCAGACCTCTATGGCTGGTTCAACTGATTAAAAATAATTGCTTAACGTGATAAGCAAGTGCAAGATAGACAGGTGTTCTTTTTCTACCTTTTTTTCCCAGCTGAGCTTTATCTAAGGGTTTACCAGATTTTCTTTTCAATTTCCTTCTGCTGAAGGTATCATCATCCTCATCTGTAGAAACATCTTCAGGGAAGTCATCTTGAGGGAAGCTCCCTGAAAAGAACATTGGAATAAGAACTTCCACAAGTCAAATATTCTTGAGAAGATTCTTCACCCGCATTAACATGAATTCTTTTTTTTAACTCGTGCATGTATTCTATGGTGAATCTTTTACTAGCGATAAAAGCATTTACTTAAATAAGAAGGCAAGGGATCAAATTGAAATCAGTGGTAGGTAACCAGGGTCCCAGGCTTAACTGCAAGGAACCTTGTATCAGTTAAGAGTGCTGGAACAGTTTGCAATTGTAAAATTTAAGCAACCTTATAATTATAAACATTAACATTTTAAGAGTCATAGTTAACAATGACATCTAAATCATCAGAATGTTAATCTCTAGTCAACACTCTATAAATATCACTGTACCCAAATAATATAATGTACTACTTGCACTTTATAATAATGCAATAAAACAATAGACTGCTGGAACAGGAATTGTCCATCTTACAGAAGCCTGATGGGTAGGGAAGAATGGAGGGAAAAGTAGCTGGCCCCATATATTTTTGGCACTGAATCCACCAACTGGTATGTGATTTTCCACAGAGGGGGAAAAAGGTTCTCACGCCTGCTGTAAAGAGTACTGTAATCTGATTTATGTGATGACGTTTTCACGTAAGCCCAGCTCAGGTACCGGCATGTCACCTGATCTTGAAAGAGGCAAGGAAAGCTCAGATTGGTTTGTGCATGATTGGGAGACCACCAGGAAATCCTAGGACTGTAGAGTTGTCTGAGAATTCCAAAACTACCTCAGAAGAACGGAATGGCAAATATTTCCATGCTGTTCCCAAGATCACTATACGGACATGACCACAAAACCATCGGAATTAGAAAACAACTCAGACTTTATTTTCACCTTTGCCTTAAGCTCTGATGTGGAAAATGACAACTATTCCTTCAAAGGGCCACAAATCCAACACTGCTGTATATTTTCTATTCCTGTTATGCTTTTTTTAAGGCTTGAACAAAAGGATGAAGTCTTACCTTCTGCAAGATCTTGAAACCTGGAAAGAGAAGTGAAAAGAGATTATATTGTTTTACTCATTTGCAAACTTTCTATAACAGAAAATATTGTATTTATTGGTGTGGAAAAATGAGATAAAAAGGAATGAACTTAAGTGTGAAGGAAAAAAAGAGCGCCCAGGGAAATCATCATAAGAATTTCAAGCTGTAACATACTTTTTAACCATTTTGTAGAGACGCTTTCTGTTAAAAGCAGGTGTGTTTTTTCTGCTGCCCAACTCAAAGATTGTGTTGGCGATTGCTTTATAATCAAACTGTCAAAAGAAAAAAAAGCAACTTAGATCATTTTAGCTTTTTAAAAATCATTTTGCCCAAAGACGCTCAAACTTTAGTTTCATAACACCATTCTAATTACCATCCAAAACATGTACTTTTTTCTCCACTAGTCCAAATTCACTCAAATTCCTACCACGGGATTAAATCCACAGCAGTTAGGCCTCTTCTTTAAAAAATCACAATAAGATATAAAGGTGCAGTTCAGGAAGATTTGAGCCTTCATTGTTTATAGCCCGATACATGCCAAATTGCTCAAATGGCATCTGATGTTCCTCAGAACTTGAAGTGCAACTTATAGTTGTCAACAACCCCACAATATTGCATTTTACCAATTCTGCAAGGAAAAAAACTCCTGGTAGCCAGCTTAATTTAATTTTCAGGTGTTGAAAAGGAAGTAGCCAATGCAGTTTATCAGCTTTATTCAGAAGTTTTCAAACCCTGCATCAGTCTTCCCCAACCTGATACTCTACAGATATGCTGAACCACAACTCCCATAATTCTCAACTAGTATTGCTTGCTAAAGGTGAAGCCTACCTGAAGAACAGGTCCAATGTTAGCATCTATATCTTCTAAAATGTTACCATGTGCCTCTGAACTTGGAGAGAGTTTGTTTGACAAGCCCCTGTCTACATTATAAAGAAAAAAACAAAGATAAAAATGAGGTGTCAAAAACAGAATGGATGATCCTACCCACTTTAGTCCCACTCACTTTTTGCTTCATTGGTGCTCATCATGGGAAAAATGTTTCCTGCTTTTATAGGAGTTCATTTAACCAATGAAGCTGAATATCTCGAAGAAAATGTTTGGATCATTTATCTACTAATAACAAGGTCCTGCTACTTGTCACTGTATGACCAAATCTATTAGAGGACCTTTAGAGAACATCTGAAGAGCACGTAGTTGAGGAACTAAAGAGAAGTCCTGATATACGAGAAGAAAATATCTCCTTTAACACTGAATATAGCCTATAAGTAGAGCTTTCAGCAGAGATGCCACACCTGAAGTCAGTGTTGAGAGCTGGAGGAAGTAAGAGCACATAGTATTTTAAAAATATTGGATAGAGGCTTGCTAGCAGGCAAAGCAACATTTTTAATTCTGCTTAGAAAACAAACAGGTGTCAGGACGCATCTCTTTAGAACGATGGATTCCTCTACGTTTCCATTCCCTTCTAAATGAACTGGTGTGATGGAATGTGAGGGTGACCTTGGAAGATGGGGTGGGGGAGGAAAGAGATGCTGCCTAGGGAACAATCAGATAAAAGAGAAAGGAGTCTGCAACAGAGTAACAGCCAGAGAAAGA